GGGAGTGGCATTTTTCAGCGCGCCAATTTGCATACATCGTGTTCGACGCGCGCGCGTGCGCGCGCGAGCGAGCGTTCGCTGATACTCGAGCTGATCGAGCCGATCGGTCGAAGCGCTCGAGCGAAAATCACGAGCGTTGAAGAGGAATCCCCGCGCTCCCCCCCCCCACGATTCCCTCTCTGTTCGTCGCTTTCCGTTCTTTCGACTGACATTCCGTTCGAGAGGTAGCAGTGGACGCGCGCGAGTCAGTTCGAATTCGAATGACTTTTCACTCGTGCTCAGAGTGAATTTCTCGCCGAGACTCGAGGGCGAGGCACTTTTACTGGGGATTGAAGGGCGAATCTGCGATGTGCTGCACCGTCGCAGGGACAAATTCGCTCTGGCCGAGTGAAACACTCGCTCGCACCGATTAAGAATCCACTCGAGCTCGAGTTAAGCGCCCACCCTTGTGCGATTCCGCGAGTGGCAGTATTTTCGAGTTAACTTGCGCGCGCGTTTTCAGGCTGAGACCCTTCTCCGGGAAATTTATCGAGAATCTCACGAAAGTACAGTATCGTCGAGGGCGCGTTAGACAATCGTGCTGCACCGTCGCGCGTATTACCGCATCAGCTCGATAATCGCTCCGCGCGACGATGCGCGCGGAGAGCTGGCGGTTAATCGAGCCTTCGGTACACGAAGACGCGCGCGCCCTCGCGCTCACCTCATTCGATTGTCGATGTTTAAATTCGATTCATTTCAGCCCGTGGTGGCAGCGAGTTTTCGGCTCGATTTGGCTAATTCGCCTCACACGATGACACTCAGCCCGCCGCCATAGACCTCAATTTATCCATACCCATAGCTAGTAACTCGGCTCCAATATATGCAAACGCGCGCGAGCGCGTCCGCCAGCCTCAAGAGACACTAATTATCCCCACGTGGGCAACCATACTCGAGAATAATTAACACTTCGCGCGCATTAGCCGCCCGCGTAAAATTACCATTGCGTGCACGCGCGCGCGCGAGCGCGACGCCAACATTAACAATTGATAATCGGCCACAATAAATATTAGCCATCCGCAAATGTTGGCCGGCCGCCATCGCCGGGATCGCGCGGATAGTCTATGTTTAAGAAGTAAATATTGTCCGCAACAGGGAGACCGTTCCGATGGAACGGAAAGTACCTCCGGATGATTCAATTTATCGCCGGTAATTACAGATTCATTAGTTCTCTCGCAACTTGCAATCTTCAACCGCGAAGGAACCTACAAATCCGCCGCGTTAAAATTAGTGCTGTCACTACACACAACGCTGTCGCGGCGTGCGGGAGCTTCGCGGAGCTCGGAAAAGTCGTGGATCCAACGTGGAACAAACAATTAAACATACCTTTGATGTATTCAACAAGTGGTGAGGGCAACCGCGTTACCGAAAATAAATTTGCGGCCACGGGATCGCTTTGAAAATATTTCCTCTGCATTATTCAGTAGTTTTTCGCAACTACCAACTGCCCCTCCCCCTCGAAATATCTCGCTGGAGGAGACGATATCAATACGGTATAATTATAAACGCGATATTGTCCGTGATGTTTATCACCGCTCATTGTTCGCACACATATCGAATCTCGATCTTCGAGGATTGCATAATGGAGGCCGCGAGGAGGTTCCGCACGATCGAGCGATACAAACACGATTAATTGCGTATGTCCCCTTTCCTTCGTCCCGCAGCTACCGTGAGAGAGAGAGAGAGAGAGAGGAGGAGAGAGAGAGAGAGAGAGAGAGAGAGAGAGAGAGAGAGAGAGAGAGAGAGAGGTACGCGCGTATTATCTGAGGATGGTACTTGCGCGAATTTTTACGGAATTAATCTTAAGTCGCGATTTTATTTCGCTCGGCGAGTGCAACTGGGTCAGCGAGCGGACGAGCGCTTCCCGGGCAAATTTGGGATTAAATCTGTTTATACTGTTACCTTTTAATTAAATTTCCCTTTCCCGCCCTAATAATTTCCTCCTTGCTATTTAAGAACTAAACAACCCCGCAGCACCCCGCCGCAGATTTAATTTTCGGAACGTGCCTTCCGCAGCGAAATAAATTTCGGCACTCTGAGCGCGCGTCCTCGTTTATTTCAAGAGTTAAAGTTGTTACAGTGCTAGCTGCCTATTGACGGATTTTCTGGATTATTCTCGGTTCTATAGCGCAACGTAGCAACGCGTGATGCGATTTTTCTCCGCAAATGCACGCTTCGCGGACGGAGACCAGAGACCGGGGGCTTTTCGGCGGTTTATCATTCAGCTCTCTCGCGCGCGCGCCTTGAACGCGCAATCTCGTACTCTCGAGACGGTACGCACAATTTACATTCGTTAATTTTCTTTCGCACAGCACGAGCCGTGTGCATTCGTTAATTCAGGACTCAAGCAGCCAAATGGCGTGAACAAACGTCCGCGATCCCGCCGTGGCGGACACTCCGGGGCGATAATGGCCACGTTGTTGTACGAAATGGGCATTACATTAGGCGGTCTGATTTTCAGTTTAATGGAGTTCCGGAAGCGTGAAGTTTAATGGAAACGGCGGGGTCGCGAGCGCAGTTGCGAGCAACTCTCCTTCTCGATGGGGCTGCAACTGCCTCTTGATAGCTGCTCGTGAAAACGCGCCGCGCGGGAAATAGAGTGCGATGCGTATTATGTTGATCAGCGTGCAAATTTATTTCGAATGCCCGCGAAAAGCGACTGACACACACACACACACACACGCGCGCGCGCGATTTCGGAATCTCGGATAGAATGCGAAATAGCGGATAGAACGCGATCGCCGCGTTTGAAATGATTCAGGCAACACGTCAAAATTATACATTTTTTATGTTCGCGATTAACAAACAACCGATAATTGATAATGAAGATCGCTCGAATGGAGATCGATATCTCTCGAGGGATCTTTGCCGATCCGAAATACGCGTCGCAGCTTACTCCTCTTTTTCTCTTGATTCCGCCTCCTCATTTGCGCGGATAATTGACAAATCAGCCGGGAGTCATCGACAGGCGCGAATTACGCAAACATAAGCGGGCAAGTTCGAGGGGGCAGGTGGGCTGGCGAGAAAATGGCGAGGGCACGAGCTGTGCGAGAGGGTACATCGGATTAGCGACAAAAGTTTGGTAATTAAGTGGTAAGTGAGGTCGAATGAAGAGAGAAGGGGTGACGGGAGTGGGTAGGTGGAGGAATTTAGTAGGCGAACCGTCCCTTTGCCCTGTGGGAAAGCGGAAGCGAAGGTGACACGAGTCAAAGAGAGATCGGAGGCAAAGAGGCGGATGATGAGGGGCCGCTGGGAAAAGGGGCCGGGTGAGGGGAAGGGAAAGGAGACACGAGATGGACCGTAGGCAGAGATAATTAGCGAGTTAATACGACTCGTTGCCTCTTGAACTTCATTACCGTGAGCGTCATCCCGCTCATCCGGAGCTGAATCTTGAGAGACGCGCGTCGTCCGAATCTCCGATCGATTAAAATATTCACGCTCGGACGACTCTGCGACTCGCGAGCGTCGCCGGCAGAGCGCGACGTCGCGTTTCAATTATTTATGAACATTACTTGAAAAATTGTGCCATTGAAATTCTCTCTCTCCCCCTCTCTCTCTCTCTCTCTCTCTCTCTCTGTCTCTGTCTCTCCGTCTCCTTTCTCTTTTTCGGCACTGATTACTCGGGATTTCGCAGACCGCTCCAACAGTAAGTGACCATGTCGAAGAATTACAAGGACTTTACGTGTTCTCTCACGTATGAAAGGCGCGCGGGAACTTCGGCTCATTCGCTCGGGATGATTTTCATCGTAACGTTAATGCCGAACGCTCGACAAGGGAGGGTATCGGACGACAGAACTGGGTTAGAGACACCAGTTTGGCAATGAGCTAGAAGATACTTCGGACGAAAGAGGATAGCTTCGGCGTGTTTGCGGGAACGCGAGGCGGAGGAGAAGCTGTGCGAAGCTGTTCGCACAGCTTCAGAAAACAAATATTTACGTTGAGCCCGGGCGCGCCCTTCTTGCGCGCTGGAAACGTATTTAATACTCTGAGAGAGGAAGAAGGTGCATGCGCAACCTGACGAGGACGAGAAACAACCGTGCGATCTCATCTCCAAGCGGGGGGCGGTACGGGGGGAGGGAGAGAACCCTACCTGTCGCGGGATATCAAGGAGCGCGACGTTGATACGAATTTTCCAACAGATACGCGAAGCGCTTTATCGACTCGCTCGTTCCGCTTTATAAAGATGATCGTAGGTCGTGTAATTTTCAATATGAAATTCTGCGCCGGACATTTGCGCGAAATGCAGAGCGCAATAAAGCGAGTCCGTTCGCAAATTATCGGATCCGTATTATCGCGAGAGTCGAGTCTCGTATAAGGAGAATTAAAAGATTGTTTAAACAGCCAATGCATTTAATCAGCTTTGCGCTGATACCTGATATTGCCAGGACATTCATTACGCGGGATATCAATACCGGGGGAATAAATTAATGTGAAACGCTATTATCGGAGGGCGGATGTTCTTTTAATGGGCGTCGCGCGCAGCTATTTTACAATGCGAGGAAAAGCTCTCGTGAAATCGAGACGGTTAAATGCATAAAAGAGCGTGATAATAGCGAGGCCATCAATAAGTACTGCGATATAAATTGTGTTTTTCGACGTGTTTCACGTGATGAGATAGAGAGAGAAAAGCAGACAAAGGTCACCTTGTGAAAATAATATCATCTCGCGCGAAACGCACCGAAATATTCTATTTTTATGATTCCGCACAGAGAAGAATTTTCAATTTGACGTTACGTTAAAATAACTATACGTGAAGAGGGGGGGAGGGGGAGAGAGAGAGAGAGAGAGAGAGAGAGAGAGAGGGAGAGAGAGAGAGAGAGAGAGATCGGTCTCGGTTGTATGAAAATTCTCTCGTTTCAACGACTTAAATTGATCTCGCACGCGCGACGCGATTAATTAACGCGAAAAAAGACTCGTCGCGTTAATACCGCAGGTCGTCGCCGCCGCGCCGTACGGATACGTACCTTGGTGAATGTGAGGGTGGCTATCGGCGGCAGACGAGGTAGATTCGGATAATAGAAGCTTCCCGCGGGATGTGCCGGATATCGGGATGTGATCCTGTAAGCGATTCCTTGGGGCTGCGTCGGCCAGTTGGCAGCCGTGAATGTGAAGCCGTTATCCGTGCCCCCATCCAGCGGGTCGAGCTGTTGAAAAAGGAATAGCGGAAGGCGGGCTTAAGCGTCGGCGTTTTCCGTGCATTTGCGGATTTTAGCAAGATGACAGGGGCTCGGGCGCGCTCGCGACTCACCGGGATAAATGCATAAATTATATCTCGCGGCCGCGGGGGGAGGTGGGGGGGGGGGCGATGCGCGTCTCCGGCTCGCTCTCTCGCAATCGTGCGGCGATTGTGGCGATTGTCGGCGGGGATGCGCAGTTGATTTCAATAACTTTGCTCTCGCGAATATACTCCCGGAGGAATAACGTTTTCCGAAGGTAATCGGGGACGAGTGGCAACTCGCGTATTCATTTTGATCGTCGTCGAACTCGCCCAGTGCGCGGAACTCGTCATCATTTTGTACAGCGTCGTTTTGGGGCGAATTGCCATCGCGAATCGTACGGATCGAGTCGAGGTGACCTTCGGTGCGCGCGACTCCGGAATGAATCCTTTTTTTACACACGATCGATATTTCAAGATTTTACCCGAGTTTACCCGAGTTGCGCACACCGTCATCCTGTGATAATTAAAAACCGGTAAGACGAGACGACTCCACGTGCGCAATCTCGCGAGAATAAAAGAATAAGAGGGCGGAGAGGAAAAACGGCGCTGCGTCGTTTCGCGCGCGAAACGTCTGTTTGAATTCGCCACTTTTCACGAGATGGAGCAGTCGCGCCAGGAAAAGGCGGAGGATTTTCGATCGCAGATAACGCAGTTATCAGTCTCTCACGCGCGTCGTTGTCAAACGTAATTACCTCCACGGTAACGGTATCGACCCAATTGCCCTCGACGCACAGTTGGAAGGAATCCACGCCTACGAACCAATCGGGGCTGGGATTGATGCGCGCCATAATGCTTATCAGGGTGTGATTGCCGTCCAAAAAGGCCCGGGTGACGCTCGTGCCCTCGCCCTGAGGAATCGGTGGGCCCGTGAAAGAGTGCAGGCTGTTGGGCGAGTCGCCGTCGGTGTCGAGTCCGTCGGCTCTGCCGGTCTCCACGTACAGTCTGGCGCCGGTGGACAGCCTCTCGCCCAATCTATACAGGGTGTAAGTCGAGTCGTGCGTTCGACCTGCAACATACAATAAGCGCGACCGGTCACACTCGAGCGGTTATTCTTGCGCCCGTGAGTTTCCTTTGTCGCAGGACTCGCGCAAATGTGTCCGTTTCCGCATTACGCCAAATGTCGTCAAATATGTATGCGCGATAAGCGCGTGCGAGTTTCTTTTGCAATTTATATGTACACGAGGGGTATTCAAAAAGAGAATCCGGAAAGAGTGGTTGTTATTCGTAAACAGAATGTACTACATTTGTAATTAATCGATACGAGCGTAAACCTGTTTTATCAGACGTAATTTTATTCGCAACAGTGCTGCGCGATAATTACGTGCGGTGTCAGTTTAAAATTAGCCTTGTATCTGCGAATATCGATTCGGTTAACCTTAAATTGCGCGCTAACATTAAATTCTTAGTTCAATTGGGTTGGAAGAAACTTGATATTATTGAGGCTGTCACAGATGTTTATAAGATGTAAGAATGCACCGAAGAAAAGCATTCTTTATGAATGAATTAATCGTTTTAATGAGGGTCGAGAGAACATCAAAGACGACGGTCGCGGTCGCGGAAACTGCGCCAACTTGAATTTCTGAAGAAAATATCCATGCTATGGATGCTGTAGCGAAAAGTGATAACTGAATAACAGTGTGGAATAATAGCTCAGACTTTAGGCATATCCCGTAAAATCAGGATATATGAAGAATAAAGCGCTCGATTTAATTTGCTGCAATCTTTTTATTGAAATCTCTGGGAACTTTTTGAACGCCCTACGTATATCTTTTTTCTTTTATAATATTGATAATATCATATTTATAATATTTATAATTGCAATTGGGTACGTTAAAATAATGATGAAACACATTCGCGGCGCGTCGAAATGTTTCACGGTTTAGGGGCGTGAGAATTGTCCGAGGTATTTAAAATGCGTCCTAATTGTCGGCGGATATATTCCCGCGCGTAACAACCGCGATGCTGACGTTTAACGAAATCACATCCCGATTACCGTGAAGCGACGTTATACATTACACGTATTTTACATGAATATTTCATCGGGCCCGAATCGCTCGAGGCGGCGCGCAGCGCTTGTAATCGTCGCGTTACGAAACGAGACGATTACAGCGGCATTGCGTAATTCGTTATCCGAGCGGTGGAACAGCGACCGTGTCGCGATGCAAATGCGTTTAACGATCAATTAATCTTTCGGAATAGTCCGATCTCTCGGAAAACACTTCGCCGCGTTGGCGCCGCGTCGTCGTCGTCGTCGTCGTCGTCGTCCGGTCTTAGTTGCGGGGCCGCGCTAAATAGCCCGCGTTTAAGGCGTTCGTTAACGATGATTCGCTCCTTTTGTAATCGCGAGCAGCCGCGGACGACGCGGAAGCCGCTTTCGAGATAGCCGAATTAATGCCGAGAGTACTGAATTTATAGTCAATTAATGCACCGCCTGAGACTCGTTGTCCGCCACTCCGGAAATAATGTGCCATCCACTTGCTCATTCTCCCTCACACACACACACACACACACAGCATACACACAAACGCGTCACGCGCCGGACCCAGCACACATCTCGCGCAATCCTGAAAAATCTCTCGGACGATCTTCTCCGACACGCCTCGCTCCCGCCGCGTCTCGTCGGTTTCACCCCGGGCCGGCATTCATCGTCACGCACGATTTAACGATCGATCGACTCTGGGAATAAACGGCCGCCCGCGCCTCTGAAAAACCGACGTCACTGCCGGGACGGGATTGCGGCCGGTATTGTGCGCTATACGCGCAGCTCTCTCACTGCACACGTTCGCTCTTCTTGCTTCTGGGCCCCGTTTTAGTTCGCCAAGCTGTTTCGCGGCGTTTTTACAACCGCGATGTCAACAAAACAACCGCGCGCAATTAGACGTCACGCGTCTCGAAGCTGGAGGAATCCTCGGGGGCTCGCGCGCGAAAGACGTATCTCTCAAACCGGGCGAACGGTTTCAACTTCCAATTACTCATCTGGGTCGATTGATTTTTATCGCAGATTTATCGCGCTATTTTCAACACGGCTAATTTTTCGTTGTACACTCGCGACTCGCTGTTTGTTGACTCTCGAAGTTTCTCAAAGTAGAAGACGGCAGTGTTTGTGTTCCAGGAGATAGCGATAATATCGCAATTTCTCTCGAAATTGCAGGAGAATATTTCGTTCAAACTTGGAGCGCATTCTGAGCCACCATATGAGTGAATGTTTTATTACGAAATGTTTTATTATCGGAACGTATATACACGCCTATAGCACAGTTGAATGGTTCAACCAATCGTAGACTACCCCTACAGGTAGTTAAAATTTACGCTGGGTTTAATACAAGATCGTAAAAAATTAAATTATAAAAAAGTGTCTCTGAATATCTGAAAAATGTCGTTAGTCTCTTCTTATACCGTTGTTAGACTACGATTAAACTCGTTTCGCACCTCGTATAAGGGCGTTGTTATCTAGCGTTCTCTTTGCCCAGAATACAATCGCAGAATTTGTCGAGGAATAACGATCCCGGAGGACGTTTGCGCAAACCTCCCGAAAAATTGGACGCGCATCGAGCAGCCGCGTTTTTAACGCGTCGGCCGAAACATCACGCGCTGCGGTTTCCTGTCTCATTCCCGCGAACAAATCCAAGACACAGCTTTCAAAGGGATCCGGATAGTTGCCGTGCCGGCAGTGCGCTGCTGCGCTCTGACTCGAGTTCGAAGGAGACGTAATTAGTTACGAAATTAGTGAAAACCGCGAGGGATATGGACTGCGTGCATCGGCAAACTTTACGTAAAGTCCGAACCGAGCTGCTTCGTCACACGAACGGAAAACCGAGATTTCCGCCCGACCGCGTCTGTTGTTCCCTCGTAAAGATCAGAAAAGGAGACAGAGAGAGAGAGAGAGAGAGAGAGAGAGAGAGAGAGAGAGAGCTCCAGGGAAGGGAAGAAAATCCACGTGTTTATTGCTTACAAAATTCGCGGTGGTAAATTTATTCCATTTTCTTCTCATTACGGCAATTCGCTTTTGACGTGAGTCAGGAGTTTTACATTATGCCCGAGAGAACAAAATATATTCTTTCTTTGGATTCTCGTCGGCGCACTCCCTTCATTTGTAGTTGAACCTCAGTTAATCCGTCTTTGTAGCGCGTCGTCGTGCTAATCCGGCAAACTCGGCCAAAATATTACATTGCCTCGCTTGCGCGAAGGCTAAGCTGAAAAAGCCATTAAGGGCCGACTCGTGCGGCTTAAATTGGCCTCGTTAATTAGATTAATTAATATCGACCCGGGCCGTTCTCGCAGCCGCTCTCCAATCTGATCCCTGTCTGTCTTGCGGCGTCTTTCCGTCCGTCTTCCCCTTTCGTTCCATCCCTCCGCCCTCCCTCGTTCCCCCATCGCCCGGCCAGACGGAATTTATGAATGAATATTATCCCGTGGCCCTTTGAAGCTCCATCTGTTTCTAACCGGTCGGTAATTTCATCAGGACTTAAATAGACGTTGATTCCATCCCGCAAATTACATTCGCAAACAATGGCGTTTTATTAATTCCGCTCGTTATCGGCAAAGTTGCCCCTTTTCAGTGGGCGCCCCGTCTTTTGCGTGACTCTGTATTAATGACTACTATTCACCGGGAAAAAATCTTCAAAAGTCCGTGCTTTTTATATTCTGCGGCGGGTTGCGGAAATAAAAATAATAATCCTGCAGGTAAGACAAGAGAGACAGAGAGAGGGAGAGAGAGAGAGAGAGAGAGAGAGAGAGAGAGAAAGGAAGAAAGAGAGAGAGAGAGAGGGGGGGGACGGAGACACGGTGAGGTAGATGTAAAATATCGGATCCCGTCGTTTTCGGGTAAAATTTGAAACAATGGCGCCGGCCAGACGTTGGCTTCAATTTGAATTTATCTATTTTTCTTAGACACATAGATAAAATATGCACACATTTACACACGCATACACACACGCACATCCAAGTTGCGAAAAATAAATCCGACGTCTACGCCGAACAACGTGGTTGAAATCAATAAATTCTATCTTCGTGGTCGATCGGATGTTTTATAAATCTTGCTGACGGTTTTCTCCGCACATGCGAGAGAGAGTTCAGTTCGTCGCGGTCCGAAATGCTTCTGCCGAGAAATGTTTTTCCTCGAGAGTCGCTCGATAAGAATTCAACCGGTGGGGGATATTTATGTGGAAACATAAATGGCGTATTTCTGTCGTCGATGCAAACACGCTGCTTCGCACGAGTGTTTTCTCGTGCTGGAATAAATAAGAAATTCGGTCGATCAACCTGCCGCCCCTGTGAAGCTGCAGGTTTGCGCGGATATGCGTTATCCGTCTGATTCTTTTTTTATATTTGGGGATCTCACCCGGGGCACACACGAATACACACTCACACTTGAGCGGTAAGAACAGAGACTGGCGGAGTCTGGAGCGAAGATTGACGACATGGGCTCGCGGTTCAATTCGCAAAATTCGAATGTCGCTAAATTTAAACTTCCGCACGCGGAAATCGATCCACCGTCGTAACTCACCTTGTCAAAGAATTTACAACCGGACGAATTGCTCTCTTTCACACGATAATTATATCCTTAGAAAGCGAGCGTTACCGACGAAAGAGCTCTCGCTCCTACCTAAATACTTCATACTTTGCCGAGATAACGCAAATCAATCGTCAAGCTCCAAATCGTCGTATTGCCGTCTACTTGCCGTCGAATTCACCAACGCAAATATTCACTTTGTTCAACAAAGTGGAAGCGAAGGGGGGTGGTTTTTCGCAGGAATTCCAAATTTTCGTGGGAAAAAGAACTCGGCGATTCTTAATGCCTACTTTACTGTGTACTGTTCTTTCCGTCTTATTACGAAGAAATATCACGAGGATCGGATAAAGTACGATAATCGCCCTCTCGTACATTGCCGAGGCCAGATCTAAACGAGCATCTCCGCGCGTTTGCCGTATAATACTCGATTTTCAGCACGGCACTATATCAAAGTCCGCGTCTTAAAGCGGTCGAATTCCTGATGAACAAGGGGG